CCCCCCCTTGCCCTTGGCATCGAGGGCCACCTTGTCATCGTCGTCGCCGTCCTCCTGCTTCTCCTACTCCAGCTCCTGCTCCTGCTCCTACTTCTCCAGCTCCTGGTCCTTGGGCACGCTGCTGGGACTCAGGGGCCAGAAGCGTCAGCAGAGGCGGCCGCTACAGCAGCAGCAGCAGCAGCAGCAGCAGCAGCAGCAGCAGCAGCAGCAGCAGCAGCAGCAGCAGCCACGAGAGCAAGGGAGTCGTGCCTTGTGCGGGACAGCAGGAGCTCTCGGCGGCATCGCGACAGTCGCCACCAACAGCTCGTTCAGGGGAAGGCGGATGCAGGTCGAGATGCCACTCAATGATGGCAATGATTCAAAGGTGACGGACGGGAGCAAGGGGGAGGGGAACTGGAAGAACGGCAATGTGTGCAAGTAGTAGAGGTCCCCCGTCAGGTTCCTTCGGCCCGAATCAACGGGAGCTCGAGGTATGTGGGATCGGGAGGTACCGTCACGAAAGGGGGACCTCTTAAAAACCAGAGCCTGCACCGGCACGCGCAGCAGCGAGAAGCTCCGCCGCCTGCTCCTCCTTCTCCTCCTCCTCCTCCTCCTCCTCACCATCATCATCATCATCAGCAGCAGCATCATCATCATCATCATCATCACCATCATCGTCATCATCAGCAGCAGCATCATCATCAGCAGCATGAGCATGAGCATGAGCATCATCATCATCATCATCATCATCATCATCATCATCATCATCATCATCATCATCATCATCATCATCATCATCATCATCATCATCATCATTATCAGTATCATCATCATCATCATCATCATCATCATCATCATCATCATCATCATCATCATCATCATCATCATCATCATCATCATCATCATCCTCATATCCAGCAGCAGCAACACCCCCACCACTCCTCCACTCCTCCAGAAGCGAGCCGCGCGCGGCACACGGCTGGCGCCTGGCAGACGAGCTCGGCAGAAAGAGCGAGCTGTTCCACTGGATCCTCCTCACGAGAGGCCCGAGGCCACAGCCGAAGAGCGCTACACTGGCAATGATCGCCAGCGGCGGCTCGCCCAGGACGACGTGCATGTCCTCCAATCCGCCATCACCTCCAGCTCCAACTCCACCGCCATCCTCAGTGCACGCTCGCAGGACCAGCCACGGGCGCGAAGCTGCACTGAGCTAGCGACGCCCAGCCCATGCCACAAGCAACCTCGCCTACACTAGAAGAGAGATCAGGGTGGGGGGCCACCAGCAAGTCGTGACGACGAGGAAGATCAGAGATAGCAGCAGCCAGCGGCACTCTGCTGCGACTTCGCCGCTGCTGTCGACGAATGCACCCGGAACGGACCGCATTAAAGTAAACGGATTTCGTCGTAACGTTTATCTTCCTCCACCGCAACTAGACCCCACCTGCTCCTCCTCATCAGGCCAGAATCGCGAGAGGCCACCCGGCCAAAGTCGCGGGCCTGCGTGCCATCTCCTCCGACGGCGCAGCGGCCAAAGAGCCAGCACAAGCAGGCTACGAAGAACATCGTCTCTCCTCGACGCCCCCTCCCATCCACCGCCAAACGCCATTTCCTCCACCACAGCTCGCAGCGGCCTGGCGCGTCGGTCTGGGCGGGGTGGTGCAGATAGGCGCTCCACGCTCGAAATTGGGAGCTTGGCCACGGGCACGTTGAGAGCCGCGGTGCAGCGCACTTTTTTCTGCCTCCTCCTCCTCCTCCTCCTCTTCCTCTCCTCTCTCTCTTTTCCCCTTCGACCCCTGATCCCTGGCTCCTCCTCGATTTGGCGTGGGGGCGCTAGGGTCGGGGGTTGGGGGGGTCCTCGGGTCGATTGAATTTATCTGCGTGACCTTTCAGGGTCAAGTCTAGCCTCCTCTCCTCTCAAGATCCTGCCCGTCGACATGTGCGGCAGGCAAGGACCTGCTGCTCTCTGAGGATGAGGATGACCTCCCCCCTCTCCACGATGTGCTCCCCTCCTCTCCCAACCACCCCCGCCTTGAGCGGCCAGCTCCGGCCACCTAGCTGCGGCAACGCGCGGCAGGCCGGCCACAGCGCGAGGTAGCGGGCAGGGGCGTGTGGCCACGGACGAAGCCTCTCGTCAGCAGCTTCTGTCTGTTTTTGTGGGGGCGCGAGCTCGACCCCGCCCACCTGTACCTCTGTGGTTGCCATGCGTATTTCAGCCTCTCCTCCTCCGCCTCCGTCCCACCTCCCCTCCCTCGTGTGCCGCCGTTGCGGCTCACAAGGGCACTTCTGTCATCTGGCGCGCAGGCCACGGGCGCCCCCTGGCCCCTGTAAAAGGCAAGAGAACGTGCTCTCTTCTGGCACGGGTCCCCCTACTTGTACTTTGTGTCTCTGTGCATTCCATACAGTTGCTCCCGTACGCTCCACCACCTGCCCGCCTGACTCCCGCCACTACCCCACGGAGGTCGAGAGACTCCGGTCGAGGCCAGAGCCGCCACGGACTACATGGCCAGCCACAGGCGCAAAGCTGCACTGAGCTTGAAGCGCCGCGTCGTCGGTGAGAGGCTGGCCGATGCCAAGCTCAGACAGGGTCGCGGTCTAGCGCTCGCCGAGGCCCTTTCGAGGCCAGGGCACGCTCCACCTCACGGGCGCTTGCGAGCCCGACCTGGCCAGTCCACTCCCACGCCGGTTGTCACTGCATCCTTCTCACTCGCCTCTTCCACTTCAACTTCATCCGCACCTCCACCATGCTTTTGGAGCCGATCGCGACGGACACCTCGTCACGAACACGTCGTGAAAGCACGGGCAAGAGATTGAAGGCACTCACGCAAAACAGGCAGGACGGAGGAGACCGTCGCAACCTGGTGGGCAGCCTGCAGGGCATCGCGAACAGGAGACCACGTATGTTTGCATGGGCTACCACCGTTCCAACGAATGTGTGCAGTATCAGGCAGAGGAAGCCAAGCCCCTGTAACCCCCAAAACTCTGGTGGTGGTTCCAGGGGGAACGCCCCCCCGTAGCCCTCCAAAAAGCCCTCCCTGAAGAGGTGGTCCTGGCGGCCCCCAAACCACTCTGAGGTTGGGCTGCTGAGGGGAAAAAACACCACCACCCAGTAACCGTCTTCAGAACCGCCCCTGGCGGGAGGGGTCATTGGGGGAAAACCCAGCTGGGATGATGTGAATTATTTATAAGATGGACGATGGTGCAGCATTATATGTAAATTACACATCCCCAGGGGGAGCCGATAAGTCCGGGGGGGTAGATCCTACTATTGTTGCGGCGGCGACGGTGAGGACAGCCGCCAGACCGCCGTCCAGACCCAGACGACAGGCGGGGACGGGGCGGCGACGGTGACAACATATTCGCCCGACCGACACACAGGCCCAGACGACGGGTGGCGACGAGTCGGCAACGGGACGGCAACGGCGACAGCATAGCCGCCAGACCGCCACACAGGCTCACACGACATGCGGCGACTAGGCGACGACGGGGTGGCCACGGCGACAACGTAGCCGCCAGATCGACACACAGGACCAGTTCTTTGGGAAAGGAGTAGAAACTCCTAAGTGCAATCGCTGTTTCGGGAATGCGTATATACATATACACATGTGAATGCATTGAGTGGTAGCACTATTGATCCATCGATCTCACCACTGGTCGGCCGAAGTCGCGACATGCTCATTCGCATAGTACATAACATTGGCCGTCCTCTACCGATCCTGCATATCTACTTTATGTATGTGTGTCAGCATATGCCGATACCAGCTGCTATTCATCGGGCCACCCATCGGGACAACCATCGGGACCACCTTCCTCATCCTGCGCACGTCCTTTTTTTCGGCCCCGCTATCTAGCAGCCGCTGTGGCTACCGACCTGCGCTATGACTACGTATTGGTCCTACTCTACGTGTATACCATTTTGTCCATGCATACATCTATCAATACCATGTAGATGCACAGAAAACATATTGAGAATAATTGCGATCGATTGCATTAAGTATCTCTACAATGATTTCGTCATCCATCCATCGATGTCACTGTCGACCTACTGATTGATTATAGACCCAGACCTAGCGATTTCTTTGTCTATCTTTCAATACCACTATCTGTAGGTCGATCGATCCCACTATCTACCCATCGGTGCAACTATTGAAAAAACCATCGTGACAACCATCGGGAAAACCATCTGGACAACCATCGGGACAACCGTCGGGACCACCGTTTCCACCTGTCGCACAACCCCCATCGGTTTCACTGTCGATCGGCCTCTCTAGCTATCGATATGTCGCTATCACTACCGTTTCGTCTTTCTTTGTGTATTTCACTTTGTCCATACATACAAATAGCTAGACGTATGCACACATGTACACATGCATCGCATATCTACCAATCTCACTATCTAACCATCGGGGCAACCATCGGGACAGCCGTCGGGACTACCGTCGGGACAACCATTGAGACAACCATCGGGACAACCATCGGGACAACCATCGGGGCAATCATCGGGACAACTAGCGGGACATCCAGCGGGACAACCATCGGGACAGCCGTCGGGACAAACAGGCAATCCATCGGACAACCATTGAACCAACCGCGGCATAATCGCGCCGCGCGGCCTGCCAGAGGAGGGACATTCGCGGGACAACCGTGCGGCACCGGCCGTTATCCGACTGCAGCCTGGCCCAGGCGGGAAATTTTCTCTCCCGCTTGCGCAGCTTCACTTCGCCCTCACGCACGACACGAACACGAAGCCGAGCTGAGGCTTAGAATGTTCAGACCTACTTCAGCCTTGATCACCAGAAAGAATTTCGTGCACCAAGAAAGTGCAGATTTTCGAGGACTTTCACGTGTTGGGTTCTGGGACACGATGCTCGTTCGACGCAGTTTTGACACTCTTCTGGGTGCTCGAAACTATGTCAGGGATGTGGCCCTTAAGTACGATGGGAGCAACATAAGCTGAGGCGGGAAGGCCTCCAGCGGGGAGGGCTGGCACGACTGCTGCCGTCGGCATCCTCACGCCACACCACCGCACGGGCAGGGCCGCAGCCAAGACGGCACGACTTTGCTCGTTGCCCGGAGGCCACGCCGGGGCCCGCCGGCTCTTCGAGAAGCGGGCTGTGGTGTCACGCTGTACGCCTCAAAGCCCCGCCTGGTGTGCGCAAGGGCCTCCTTCCCTTTTCTCCTCCTGCTCCGCCCTCCCCCTCATCAGGAGGAGGAAAAGGTACCCATACCTCTACCCTTCGCCCGTTTTCTTTTTTTGGGGCCTACTGGGAGGCCCTCGTCGCCACCGCTGGATGCGCCTCGAAGTCCAGGTCAGAACGCACCCCGGGAGAGGTCCGGGGAGTAGCGGTATTGGTACCTTTTGGCTTCCCCACCTCCTGAAAACCTCGCGCTCGGCTCGCTTCCGCAGCCATTCTGCCTCCACACACCCGATTTCTCATGCTACCCCCCCACATTCTGGACTGCCCGGGCAGCCATGAGCTTCCCTGGGAGGCTGATGCTTCTGATGCTGCCATGGCTTGCACCGCTGCTTACCGCGGGGCTGCATTCCCGGAAAGGCAGCCAAGGGGAGCCCGAGGCTTTGCGACGCCGCTCACTGCTCTCGGAGACCACGCCAGACTCGCCAGGCGCAGCGGGCACAGCGGAAGCAGCTGGCCCAGGAGCGGCAGGCAAGCGAGTGCTGCTGATCGTGGCGGGCCTGGCTCGACACATCGACGAGACATGGCCCCGTTTGGTGGAATCCCTCATCGTGCCCAATGAGATCGGTTGGTTGCTACAGGGGCCCCTGGCCCAAGGTGCCCCCAGCTTTTCGCTCCATGCTGGAGCCCCTGGGACCCCCTCGGCTCATCTGATGGGGTGCTCTGGAGGCCGTGGGGGCAGCCTTGAAAATCCTGGGGGCACCTTGGGCCAGGGGCACTTCTAGCAACAACCGGCGAGAAGGCTGGGTACACGTTCACGACCTTTTTCAGCACCAATGCGGGCCTCGGTTGCAACCGGAACTCGTCCATGTGGAAGGAGCGCAAGTGCGAGGAGCCTACCGAGCGGCAGGCGAATGTGCAACAAATCAAGAATGTGTTCGCCCCCCGCGTGGTGAAAGTGCTCGATTATCGTAGACGCCCAGGGCGAATCACCGCCGCCCCTTGCCTTTTGGAAAGGCCCATGCGGCTAACCGTGTGGCCGAAGTCTTGCTAAGCTATTGGACTATGTGTTCCACCAGCCGTTGTGGACTCCGTTGGGGGAGCACTCAGAAGGAGGACCAGGAGGAGAAGGAGGAGGAGGAAGGATAGGAGGTCTCTCGAGGACCTCTTGGTGCCTCCTGGGGCTTCCTGTGAGCCTCTCGGTGGCCTCGTGGAGGCCGCCCAGGCCCTCTTGGATGCCTCCTGGGGCTTCTTGGAGGCCTCTTGGGGGCCCCTGGGCCCTTCAGGGCCCTTTTGGCCTTCGGAGCCAGTCTTGTGGCCCTCTCTGGGCAGTCGTGGTTCCCTCGATGGTTGCCCTCATGGTTGTCCTGATTGTTGTCCCGACGGATGTCCCGATGGTCGGTTGATTGGTTGCTAGTGAGATAGAAAGGTAGGTAGGTAGGTCGATAGATAGATAGATAGATAGATAGATAACGATAGATAGATAAATGGATCGACAGACGATACCATGGCAAGCACGGCACAGCCACGGAACAACCGCGAGAGAACCACGGGACATTCAGTGGGCAACCGCAGGACAACCGCGGGACAACCACCAGACAAGCGCCGGACAATCACAGGACAACCACCCGCACAGCCGCGGGACGAAATTTCTCGACAGGCGCCGGACACTTGCGGGACAGCCAACGGAACGACTCCGCGGGACAGCTGCGGACCAACCACGGACCAGCCACGGGGCGAGCACAGGGCAGCCACGGGACAACCACGGGGCGGCCGTGGCACCACCAGCACACAAAAAGCCAGGGCAGCCGCAGGACAGCCACGCGGGACAGCCGCGGGGGGGCCAGCGCCCGCCCCTGCGGTGGAGGGTTTCTCCGAAGAGCCCAGGCGACCCGTCCCCCTCCTCTCTCCTCCACCTCCTCCATCTCCTCCTCCCCCTCCCCCTCCCCCTCCCCCCCCTCCTCCTCCTCCTCCTCCTCCTCCTCCTCCTCCTCCTCCACCTCCTCCGCCTACTCCTCCTCACCCTCCTCCTCCTCCTACTCATTCCTCCTCCTCCTCCTCCTCCTCCTCCTCTCCTCTCCTCCTCCTCCCCCTCCCCCTCTCCTCCTCCTCCTCCTTCATCCTCCTCCTCCTCCTCTCTCTCCTCCTCACTCATCTCCTCCTTCCCCTCCTCCTCCTCCTCCTCCTCCTCCTCCTCCTCCTCCTCCTCCTCCTCCCCCATCTCCTCCTCCTCCTCCTCCTCCTCCCCCTTCCTTCATCTTCCTCCTCCCTCCCTCCTCCTCCTCCTCTCCCTCCTCTCCTCCTCCTCCTCCTCCTCCTCCTCCTACTCCTCCGCCTCCTCATCTCATCCCTCCTCCTCCTCCCCTCCTCCCCCCCCTCCTCCTCCTTTCTCCTCCTCATCTTCCTCTTCCCTCTCCTCTCCCTCCTCCTCCTCCTCCTCCTCCTTCCTCCTCCTCCTCCTCCTCCTCCTCCTCCCCCTCCTCGCCCTCGCCTCCTCGGGTCGCCTACGGCCCCTGGGGAAGCCGTCCACGGGGGTGAGGAGCAGCGTGATGGCAGCTGCCCCAACAATGCAAGGGCCTGTCTTGCTCTCGCGCAGCCTCGCCCTTCCCGCGCGCCCGCCTAGGAGCGATGCGCACCGAGGCCAGGAGGGTTTCTCCGAAGGGCTTAGGCGACCCGTCCTCCTCCTCCTCCTGCTCATCCTCCTCCTCCTCCTCCTCCTCCTCCGCCTCCTTCCTCCGCCTGCTTCTCCTCCTCCCCTCCTACTCCTCCTCCTCCTCCTCCTCCTCCTTCCCTTCTTCTCCCTCCTACCCCTCCTCCTCCATCCTTCCCCTTCCCACAATTACTCAATATGAAAAACCTCCTCTTCCCCTGATGGCGTCCGGTATGGCCGCGCACCCTCCGCGTACTGTTTTTTAACACACACGATCCCCGGGAAATCCCGGGAAACGACTCTCGCTGAGGCGCCGGCGTCATTTTTTTCCCAAAACGCTGCTCTCGTTGAGGCGCCGGCCTCATTTCTGCTCCCGAATCGTTCCGAATCGTGCTCCCGCTGCAGCGTGGGCCTCATTTTCGGATCGGTGTTTGGCCTCCGTCGTTCAGGATGGCGTTCTCGCCCCAGCGCGGGCCTTTTTCCTCGCGCGCCCATCCGCCCGCCACCACCGCGCCGCGCCGCACCAACCACCACCACCACCACCAACCACCACCACCACCACCACCACCAGACCACCCAACCATCGACAACACCACCAGCACCACCACCACCCACCCACACCACCACCACACCAATCACCACCACCACCACCACCACCACCACCACCACCACCACCACCACCACCACCACCACCACCACCACCACCACCACCACGACAACCACGCACACACGCAGGCACGCACGCACGTGCACCACCACCCACTACGCACGCGCGCGCGGAGCCACAGGTCCGCTACGACACGCGTCCGCGGATAGAGAAAATCAGCGCCATGGTACGGGATGGGAGGGAGGGGTAGGACGTCAGATATGACGCGAGCGCACCTAGCTTGTCCCCCTCCCCCTCCCCCTCCCCCTCCCCCTCCCCCTTCTCGCCCTCCCCTCCTCGGGTCGCCTACGGCCCCAGGGGAAACCGTCCACCGAGGCTAAGGGCGATTTCCCGCCCGGGTGGCTTCGTTTCATTTCGCTCTCTTCGGTGGAGGCTTGAGGACTCCCCAGAGAGCTCAGAGGGCATTCCTCACCGCCCACCAAGCCACCCCAATCCAACCCGAAGGCCCCGATTTGCCCTCCATTTCCAGTGTGGGGGGGGGGGTCGGGGAACATGGACAAAACACATATGAAGCACATACCCCCCCCCCAACCCGAAATTCGGGTCTTCGGGTTGGGTTGGGGTGGTCTGGTAGGTAGTCAATTACGCTTCGTGCCTCGGGGCACGGTGGCGGATACAGTTGGCGGCGTGGATGCCCACCTTCGGGCCGCCCGCGACGGGGCGGACGAAGCCACCGACGCAGGCACCGGGTGGTCCTGGTGGGACCGCGTGCACCACGTGCTCAACTACGTCGGACCGGGCGCAAGGTTTGACAGGATGGTGGCGTTGCGGCCCGACGTCGTCCTGCAGCGTGCTCCGAGAGAGGGAGCCGCGCCCCCGGAAGGCCGTGTGGTCCTGCGGCTGGACGAGATGTGCCAGAAGAAGCCCGGCCTCAGCTTCGTCACCGCATCGTGGCGGCGCCGGCGTGGCGCCTGGCTGCACGATCGCGACTTCGACTTCATGCAGATCCTGTGCCCCAGCGAGGGGCTCCCGGTGTACGAGCTGGCCCTGCGTGCGCCCACGGAAACCTGCAAGAAGGGTGCTGTGCCCGCCCTGCCGCCCGGCTTCCACTCCGTGAAGGGCTGGGGCGCCCACGCGATGTACTGCCGATTCGTCCAGGTGTTCCAGGTTCGGGGGTGGACAGAACCCCCACCCTGACACGTCGATTAGAGAATTGTCCGTTTTCGCTTCTCGAGAGGGCGCCGCGGCCATCGTTTGCCAGGCTTGCGCCCGCCAGGTTTGGGCCCGAGGTCGTTTCCACTAAACCACTTTTTGCTAAATGGGGTTCTTTCCATCCCCGACAGGTCAGCAACATCTCGGTGTCAAACTGGGACGATGACTACCACCTGAGCTGGCTGGACAGGTTCTGCACATCTCCCAATGGAACTGGGCTCTGCGAAGGCTCCGAACACCATCCTGATGTGTTCTGACGGTTCTGGGCTCTGGCCTCTGTTATTTGGAAGCGCTATCGCACGAGAAGCACGGTCAAGTAATTATGTATCCGATGCACTCCAGAGCGATGTTGTACATTCGATGTGCCGTTGCGTACTGATCGCACTTTGCAACAGAAAAGTCTGTGCGGGTCCCCTCGGCGGTTAGGGATGTCGAGATAAAAGCGGTTGTGCGGCCAACATAATCCCGCATTGCATCATGCACAGAATTGTTTGGCCGTCATCGGATCGGTCGAGAGGGGATGTGGAGCGAGTGGGAGGAAGAAGGGGGGGTGCGCACGGGATGGTAAAGCTAATGATGGTTACGACGATGGCGATGATGATGACGATGACGATGCTGATGAATAGGAGGAGGAAGGAGAGGAGGAGGAGGAGGAGGAGGAGAAGGAGGAGGAGGAGGAGGAGGAGGAGGACGAGGTGAAGGGCTGTCCCTCGGTGCCTGCCACGCTCATGCCCTCCACGTGCAAAGGAGGGAGAGGAGGAAGGTGAATGAGAGGTAGGCAGCAGGAGGGGGCAGGAGAAAGGATGGCAGAGCAGGAAGGAACAGGATGATGTTGTTGTTGATGATGATGATGACGATGATGACGATGCTGATGACGATGACGATGATGGTGATGCTGATAGTGATGATGGTGGTGTTAATGGTGATATTGGTGTTGGTTGTAATGATGTTGGTGATGCTGATGGTGCTGATGGTGATGTTGATTGTGGTGGTGATGATGCTGCTTCTGATGATGATGAGGATGTTGACAAGGCTGATGATACTGTTGTTGATGATGCTGACGAAGATGATGAAGAGGATGATGATGTCGATATGATGCTGCTGCTGATGATGCTGTTGATGCGGATGATGCTGTTGATGATGATTCTGACGATGATGGTGATGCTGATGATCATGATGTCGATGATGAGGATGCTGACGATGATGATCATGCTGGTGGTGGTGGCGATGCTGATTGTGATAGTGATGCTTATGCTGGTGTCAGGAAAATGATGATGATGCGGATGATGATGCTGACGCTGATGCTGATCAAGACGGTGATGCTGATGTTTATGATGTTGGTGGTGATGCTGATGAATATGATGATCATGCTCATGACGATGATGAGCATGCTTGTGGTGTTGATGAAGAGGTGATGATGGCGATGCTGATGATCATGGTGAGGATGAGGATGCTGATGATGCTGACGATGATGGTGATTTTGGTGCTACTGTTTATGATGATGGTGATGCTGATGATTGTGATTGTGATGCTGACGACGGTGCTGATGCCAACACTGATGATGCAGATGATGATGATGATGATGATGATGATGATGATGATGCTGCTGATGCTGATGATGATGCTGATGATGATGATGATGATGCTGATGATGATGATGATGATGATGATGCTGACGATGCTTACTGAACTGTTGACAATAATGGAGATGATGCTGATGATGATGATGATACTGAAGGTACTGATGCTGGTACTGCTGATTGTGGTAGTGATGACGGTGATGATGTGGATGTTGATGGTGATGATGGTGATGGTGATGATTCGTGTGATGGTGATGGCGATTGTGATGGTGATGGCGAGGAGGAGGAGGAGGAGGAGGAGGAGGTGGAGGAAGAGGTGGAGGAGGAGGAGGAGGAGGAGGAGGAAGAGGTTGAGGTTGAGGATGAGGAGGAGGAGGAGGAGTAGGAGGAGGAGTACGTTCGATGAGGTGGACTACGCAGGGGGAGCGGCTCGGGGAGGAGGCATCGGCAGTAGGATAAGGAGGTGAAGGGTAGGAGGGAGGAGGACAAGGAGGATTAGCAGGATCACGAGAACCACGTGTATCGAGCCTCGTCCGCCCGTCAATGGGCAGGGGCGGGGTTGGGCGGGGGCAGAATTGGAGAGAGCAGTAGGATGGAGGAAGGAGTTGGTTGGAGGAGGAGGAGGAGCAAGGATGAGGAGGAGGAGGTGGGGGAGGAAGAGGAGGAGGAGGAGGAGGAGGAGGAGGAGGAGGAGGGAGCTGGTGGAAGGAGGAGGAGGAGGAGAAGAGGAGGAGGAGGAATAATTAGGAGATGGGAAGATGATGAGACCGCGCTGGTTGTAGCGCGCACTCCCGTCCCGCTCCCCTGCGAGGGAGAGGAGGCGGGAAGGAGGAAACACCAGCAGGAATGAGGAGTGGTGGAGGGTGGGGGGGAGGAGGCAGGGGGAAGACGTATGGGGAGGGCGAGGAGAGGAAATTAGGAGGAGAAGGAGGAGAAATGGGGACTGGGAGGAGGGGGAGGGACGAGGGGAGAGGGATCAGGAGGAGGGAGCAGGAAAAGGTATGTGGGGAGGCGGCAACGGGAGAAGGAGGATAGGAAGGGGAAGCAGAGGTGAGGATGAAGGGAGCTACGTGTACAGAGCTTATCCTCCCCTACCCCAGGGAGGAGGAGGACCAGGAAGATGAGGAGAACGAGGAGGTGGATATGAAGGGGGAGAAGGATGCGGAGAGAAAGGAGGATGATACAGAAACACAAAGAGGATATGGGAGAAGTTGGAGCAGGGACTAAGAGAGGAGGACGAAGGAGGGATCCGAAAGGCGCGGGTAAGGATGGGATTTTGACGACCACGTATAGAGTGGTGCATCCCAGTCCTTCCCTCGTGGACGGGTGGAAGGAGAAAGAGGAGGAGGAGGATCACGCATCCGTAGCAATTTCGGTCCAAGACACCTGAAGCCCTGCGAACACCCGTGCTGGCACCCCTCTCGCCACGATGGCCAACCCCAAGGTGTTCTTCGACATGACAATTGGCGGCGAGAGCGCTGGCAGGATCGTGATGGAGCTCCGGGCCGACGTGGCTCCCAAGACAGCGGAGAACTTCCGCTGCCTCTGCACCGGGGAGAAGGGCACGGGCAAGTCGGGCAAGCCCCTGCACTTCAAGGGCAGCGCATTCCACCGCGTCATCCCAGACTTCATGTGCCAGGGCGGCGACTTCACCGCCGGCAACGGCACGGGCGGCGAGTCCATCTACGGCAGCAAGTTCGCGGACGAGAACTTCACGCTCAAGCACACGGGCCCTGGGATCCTCTCCATGGCGAACGCGGGCCCCAACACGAACGGGTCCCAGTTCTTCCTCTGCACGGTGAAGACCGCCTGGCTCGATGGCAAGCACGTCGTGTTCGGTTCTGTGACCGAGGGCATGGACGTCGTAAAGAAGGCCGAGGCAGTGGGCTCGCAATCTGGCAAGACCAGCAAGCCCGTGGTCATCTCCGACTGCGGGCAGCTCTGAGCGCGCCTGCTGCGCTCGCCCCACAGCCGCCGCCGCCCCCCGCACCTCCTCCGCCCCCTATCGCCTCGCCTGCTGGGCGGCGGGTCGGGAGCGATTCCAGATTTTGACACGGACTCGGAGCCAGAGGAGCAATATGTCAGGATAACAATAGGCCGCCACCTCCTCGCCACGACATGGCTCGTACCGCTTGGCGCACGCGCTGACTGCCTTAAACATCAAGCATACAAAACCCAGCGAGGACTGGATAGACCAAGGCGCCAAGACCTTCAAGGCTCTCAGGGTTCCCTGTGTTTTCGAGCGTTCCGAGCAGGCTCCCCAGAAACGAGTGGGCCTCCAGATGCTCTTGGACCTCCTGGAGCGCATCCTGAGCCAATCGCATCCTCTCGTCATGCCTTCGGCATCCTTCTGCCGCCTCATGGTCAGCAAGCGTTCTGATGTTCCAGCCTTAAACACCCGAAAGAATTTCGAGCACCAAGGAATTACCGAAACCAGAGTTTTTGTTACGTTTCGGGCCCTGGGAGGCGATATTCGTACGACATTGTTTCGATACTGTTCTGGGTGCTCGGAATTGTGGTCCTTAAGTACGATGGGAACAACATAAAGCAAGCGAATGCATGTGATGTTCGGCTGTCATGCTGCCGCAGCAGAGCCACTGTAATGCGCCGGCTGCAGACCTGGGTGTCTTTCGCCTGGATTGGGCACGCTGCAAGGAGGAGGCCTACGGTTATACGATCCCGGGTCGAGGGTTCTCACAGGCCCCTCACCAGATGGGATGGGTCCCAGGGTTTGTCGCCCTCCCCCCCTGATGGGAGGGGGCGCGACGACGACCACGACCACGACCACGACCACAACAACGACCACCACGACTGCGATGTTAAGGACGACGACGACGACGACAACGACGACGACAACCACCACAACAACCACCGCAGCCACGGACACCACCACCACCACCACCACCACCACCACCACGCCACGCCCACAGGGAGAGGGGGGCACCAACCGCGCGGGGGGGGGGCGCGGGCTCGACGGCATCAGCATGAGGGGGGCGGGCCGGAGCCCTAGATCACTTGTCCGTACGACCCTTGGGGTGATCAGGAGGTTGCGGGGGGGGGGACCAGTTGATGACAGCCTCAGGCACCATCGGGACACCTTCGAGACACCATCGAGACACTGGGACACCATGGACACCATCGGGACACCATCGGGGACGACCACCGCCAGGACACCCTCGGGACAGCGTCGGGACACGATCGCGGGGCACCACCAAGACACCACTGGGGGCACCATCAGGGCACCGCGGGACACCACGGGACACCATCCCTAGAGATCCGAACGAGCGTGTTCTACCGCTGCTGGCGGAAAACCGGGGGGGGTCACTACCGGTTCGAACCCCTCTCCCACCCCCCCACCCCCTCCTGAAAACTGGGGGGGGTCACTACCGGTTCGAACCCCTCCC